GTGCGACTGCAGTGGAACGGACTATCGAGGTGATCGCTGCAGTCATCCCATCTGTCCCCCCAACTTCTGTCTCAATGGTGGTGTCTGCTACGTTTACGATGGCAACCCTCGATGTAACTGCACTGGCAATTTCGGTGGTGATAGGTAATTAATAGCTTTTTTTGTTCTAAAACCTCACTTGATGAGCTGTCTTAGGGAAGTCCACAAGTTATGAGTGGGCATTTTCGTGCAACTATCATTAAGAATGGAGTTTTGTTAAGTCCGTATTTTGTAGCACTCTTTTGGGCGTGCTTGTCAATTAAACATCCATTAAGTGGTGATCAGGTTGGAGCTGGAGTCCCATAAGAGCTGCGCTTTGTCTCCAGTGGAGTCTACCAGAGGTACCCACAGACAGCTCTTCTGTGCTTGAAGAACTTTATCCTTCCCTCTGGCGGGAAAATTCATCACTTTTGCGAATTGAACTCCACCTTTGTTGTGCTAAAGGAAAATTCAGTTGACAGCTACACAATTGCCTAAGAATACACCAAATGCCTTTGCCACCTTTAACTAACAACGCCTACCTTATTCTTGAAGTTTTTACAAAACTCCGTCGTCTTTACTTTAAAGTCAAACCTTTATGAAGGAGGCGATTGTGGACTAATGGGGAACATCTTTTTGTTTTCCTTCAGATGTCACTACCCAGTCTGTCCACCGGGCTATTGCTTGAACAACGGACGCTGTCTCATTCGCCCAGGCTCCTCCACTCCAGAATGCGATTGTACCGGTACGGGTTTCGTAGGTGACCGTTGTTCCACACCAGTGTGTCCTGAAGGCTACTGCCTTAATGGAGGCATCTGCCATGCCCTGCCCAACGGAGTGCCTTTCTGCGACTGTTCGTACACCTCTTACTCGGGCGACAAATGCGAAGTGCCCATTTGTACACCCGACTACTGCTCTGGCCATGGAACCTGTCGGGTTGAGCAAGGTCGTCCCGTATGTGAGTGTCGACTTGAGTACTGGGGCCCTCAGTGCCAGCTGGAAGTGTGTCCGTCAGGCTTCTGTCACCATGGTGGTACCTGCTACGCAGGCCCCGACCGCAGACCTCATTGTCGCTGTCCCGAAGGCTACGAGGGTGACCAGTGTGAGATGCCCAAGACCTGCCCTCCGGGCTACTGTTACCATGGTGGCGAGTGCACTATGCAGGGTGGAATGCCTGTTTGTAATTGCATCAACACTGATTATCAGGTTAGAATTATTCTTTGTGACAAGTCGACTGCTACAGGAATGTTTTTATCTGTAAGGTATATAAACCTATTGGCGTTATGTGAGTAGAATGAGGCTGGAAAATGGCCTTCAGATTAACGGCACAGGAGTACTCGATTCACCTCCATTTCTAATTCTTGTCTCGTCTGAGTAAGTCCTAAGGCGATGACAATAGTCAAAGAGCGATGGAATAGAAGGACTTTAAAACGATTTGCGGTCCCATCGGAGAACAAATTTGAGATTGTGAAGTGAGGCGCTTCTAACCCCACTACTGGGAAGCATTCGCGTAAAGCGAAGCGGTATGACGACACATTGTTCAGTTCCCAAATTATCTTCTACTTTTCCATGTTGTTGATAGGGACCGCGCTGCGAAACGCCCAAAACTTGTCCGCCGGGCTTCTGTCATAACGGTGGCTTGTGCACGGTATCGGGTGGACGTTACACATGCAACTGTCTGGGCACGGGCTTTCAGGGTCCCACATGCAGCGATCCTACCGCCTGTCCGCCTGGCTACTGCCATGGCGGTATCTGCACTGTCTTGCCTGGAGGACAATACGTCTGCAGCTGCTGGAAGACTGGACTCAGTGGACCAACTTGTGACGGGGGTGAGTTGCTGTCCATGCGGTGGAGCTCGTCCGTGCATGCCTTGAGCTGACATGCGTGACAATTACTACACAATCTATGAATCGACCGTCAACTTACCTCTTTTAGATGTCAATGGAATCTATGTCGACTACGAGAAGATTGGGTATATAGTGTATGACCTGAATCCACCCCTGAAGACGAAGGAGGACAACGTGACAGTGGGTTTCAAGACCTACGCTCAATCCGGAACCATTCTTGATTTTGTCACCACAAATGGTCCACATTGGGGCATCAAAGTGGTAGGTTGTGATAGCTTACCTCATTTTTGCTGCTGTTTAAAAGTGTGGATGGATGTGGTAGACGCCAGAAGTTACGCTTTTCTTATCGTTACACCGTTCAAGACAGGTTATCGGAGTAGAAGTAGAGGTAGAGGTCTGTGGCCCAGCTTGAACTTCCCCCACCTCATTCTCTGGCCATGTTTGTGTTTTTGCTTTTAGCGCAACGGCCATATAGTTGTGAACAGAAATGGCCAAGA